CAGCAGGAAACAAAAGAACAGAAAGACATCGAACGTCACATGAGGAGCATGTCAAATGACTTGATAAAGTTGAATGTGTTGATCAACAAGAACAACAGCAGCTGCGAGGAGCTGCAATATGGCAACATTATCACAGAGAACGAGTTTGTATGCTCTCTCAAGGTACAGAGGCTTGACATCTCATTTCCAGGTCTCAACCTCCCATGCAGATCAGAGGCAAACAGTGATCCTGAAAATCTTTCTCACTCTGACAATATTGTATTGGTTTATGCTTCTCAACTCTAGGCAGCAGAAAAAGAATCAGTTGAGATGCAGGAGAAGCACAGTCAGTTGACTGAGGAGAAGAAAAGACTCCTAAACAGCCTGGTGGAAGCAGAGTAGGTACCAGAGAAATTCTTGCTTTGTGCCACAGTCTTTGAACTTTTGTATATGTGTCCACGTTACCTTTCTTCTCCAGTCATCAAACTGAACCAGCACCAACAAATGTGCTTCTGTCCTTGGAGAAGATGAAAGGAGTTCAATGAATTTTTGAAACGCAGAAATTGAAAGGTGCTTTAGCCGTCTCTGGAACCAGCAAGAGCTGAGATTTAACGATTCCAGCATGCTTGTGCTGGATGTTGCCAAGATCTGTATGGGAAGACTCTGCATGCTCTCTCCTCTGCCAGTAACTCAGAGCGAGTGTGCTGCACTGGGCAATTAATCCATCATCCCCCTGGCAGTCTGGGCTTGCTTGTTTTTACAGTCATCATGCCATTTTCTAAATTGTGGAGCTTCCCGTCTGATTTCACGCTGCTCTGTTGCTGCCCTTTTATACGTCCCATATGCAAATTCTTAGTTTCTGCCAAACCATTCAGCGCTGTGTTCAGAATCGATCTCGGGAGCGTGCTGCCACTGATGCACAGAGCGAGCATCCTCTCTGTTGTTTACAAAGGCACTGCTTTCCCTTTCTGTCATTGAAGGCATCAAATCATGCTATGGGAGAAAAAGATCCAGCTGACAAAAGAGATGCGTGCAGCGGTGGATTCTGAGACAGGACAAGGCGAAATCCAAGCCATGAGAACAGAGATTCATAGGATGCAAGTAAGCCACTGGGAAAGATGGACAGTATTGGAAATCCTACCAGCCTGCAGCTAGATTGAATTAACTGCATCCAGCATGCATGCACTTTATGCATTCCTTATGCACGCTATGTAATAGGCTGCAGCAGTATCTAGATACACGCAGGAAGTCTATTTAAAATGTAATATGTCTGCCACCTTATTCTGTGACCCCAATTTATAAATGTTGATTACTAAATATTGCATCATCTTAACCACTGGTTAGGGAAGTCTTCTATCTTCTGGCAAAGCAACTCTTCCCTTTCACTCTCGGGATATTTCTGCTCTTCTGCTTTTGCTATTGCTAATGAATTCCAGTGAAACATTTTGAAGATTACTTTAGATGAGTTGATAATCCAGCCCTCTGCTTTCCAGATCCACACAGGGCAAACTAGGTTTGGATTTAGAGCAAATTTGGCTTGCCAAGGCTCCCGTGTCACGTGTATCTGGTTTATGTTGATGGGGTGTGCCACACAGAAAACTTCAGTTAGGTGTCATTCATAACCATTCATTATTTTCAGCCTGTTTTATCTCTTGACAAATGGCAGGTCCGCTATGGCCGGCTGATGAAGCAGCAGGAGAAGATGATTTGTGATATGGAGGCATCTGTTTCTCGTAGAGAGGCGATAGCGATTCGTGGAGAGGGTCAGAACAAAACAGATAAGAAACTTATCACCAAGAGCGACTTCCACCGCAAGAAACAGGAGCTGAGAAAGAAGATCGGCGAAACCCAGAAGGTGAGCAAGTAAAGCAGGGCTGCAAGAGTTCACGTAGCCTGTATTTGCCTTGTGATGAGCGCCAGTGCGCACTTAGCACAGCCACGGGGTGTCGGTACCCAGACCCTGCACAGGTACAGCACCGCACAGGGGGCAGGCTTTGGAAACTCATTAAAAAAAAAAAAAAAGAGTTCTGGGAAGATGGCCGGGAATGCAGGTGAACTAAAGAGCCAGAATCTGCCATTTCCTTCTCTCCATTTACTAGAACATTCAAGACTGCAACAAAACCATCCTGGAGCTGGAGAGCACCCAAGCGTCCCTTAGTGCCGCCTTCTTGGAAAAGCAGCAAGAATTGTGCGGACTGCAGGCTGAGTCTGATGGCCTCCGTTCAGACGCAGAATGTCTTCGGAACAAGAAACGATGGGTGAGCGCATCTGCTTCCTTGCAGCAGGCGAGCCAAATAGAACCTGCTGCTTGCTTCTCTTGCCAGCTCCCTGTCTCTCTGTCTCACCACCATCCTGAACTGGGCGTGCTTGGCATGGAATTTTAGCAACCCTTTAAGTTAACTGCACGCATTTTGAGGGCTCATAGTGGTCCTGAGTTGATGCTGCAGTTGCACCCTTAGTGAGGCAGCATTCGCCTGGAAACGTCAGCCTGAAGGACATCGTTTGTATCTTGAAAATATCCACTAGCAACTTCCCTTTGTGAGCGCTAGCTGGCTACTCGTAAGTATGTTACAAATTTGAGAGCCGGCTCAAGGTCTTGAATGACCTCCTATGACATTTTTAAGTTGGTGAAACTCTGTCCTGGCAAGGGTTGCCTTGTATGCACGGGTATTTCTCTGATCTATGGAATTCTGTGACGACTGTACCTCTACAGCAGTCGGAATGGGGATGCTCTTTGGCTGTTGTAACGGGGACTTAGCAGTATCCTTCTTAAGAAGCCCTTCCATTTCAAAATACGATGGTTTCAGTACCTGTGTGCAGTCTGTTGTCAAAGCAATTTCCGTTGTTGCATTTCTCAGAACCTTTTGGAGATTGTGGCCTACCAGACACGCCAGAAGCATCTGCAGGCACTGAAGGAAGGGAAGTACACTCCCCTGTGCCGCACCGAACAAGTCTGGAGAAACGAGCAGCAGAAACTGCAGGACCGGCTCCGTACCGTCAACGCCATCGTCCACCAGATCCAGCAGGAACATCCTCAGCACCAAAGGGCTCTCCAGTGGCTCACTCAGTGCTTGGAATCCAGGCTCGGCTCGCAGGAAAACTGACAGAGACATGGACAAAGCACCTATAACCATCTGTTCTTGTTCTTCTGGAGGCTGCAGGCTTTGTAAATGAGAAATATAAGAATAAATATAAAAATAAATATAAAATAAATATTTATTAAAGAGGTAAAATTGCTACTTTTTTTGTTTGTTTCTTTTCACATTTCACCTTTGCAGCAACAGGCCGGTTCATCGGTTTCCCTGCCCCTGCTGACCTCGCCTGGCCGTCGGGGTTTGGGGGCAGCTGCAGCCTTGACCTTCAGGCCGGGGGGGCCGCCCGGGCCCTGCGCTCCTGTTACCGGAAAGCAGCAAAATAATTCACTCTCTAAAACTTAATTTTGGAGTTTCAGAAAGCAGGCATTCTTTATTGCGGCGCCGGGCAGCACTGGGGGTCATTCCACCATGAGTGCTCCTCCGACTTGGTAAACTTTCGGTAATTATATACGATGAAATCATACATGTTTGTAGGGCTCCGGAGGATTCATTTACATAAACATGAGATTTCCTGGAACTTATTAACATATGTAAGTGTGATCCGCATGCGCAGTCGTCTTCCATGGTGGTCTCTGGGGGTCTTTGGGGGGTCTTCAGATGAAGGCTTGTAGTCTTCTTCCCTGCGTTCGCTGACTGACCTTTACTTCTGCGCAAACTCAGTCTGGGGTCACGTATGCCATGTCCTTCAAGGTCGGTTTGTTCTGGTCTTGTGGGCATCTTGCAACTTTCTTATCTCTCTGGCTCCGCGCATCTGCCCTCCCAAGGCCGAGCTGCCTAAAGGGGGAGCGTAAGCTTTACCTTCGTTTGGTTACATCTGTTGTGCAATGAGTCTGACGACTGGAACTGATAGCTCCTACCTCTACCCGCAGGTATCCCTCCCACCGGCTTTTGCTCAAGCCCCGCAGCAGCAGCGCTCGAGCGGCGGCGGGGGCGGCTCCGGGAAGG